CCCGCAAACCTCCACAAAGGCGTCGGTCAAGTCGCTAGCGCGATCCATCACCGGCAAATGGCGCCCCGCCACGATTTTGACCTTCAGCTTCCCCGGCATCTTCCTCCTCCGCCTCCCGCCGGCTGCAGGGAGAAAACAACCGCGCGCGTCCCATGGAACGGCACGGCCGAGCCGTGGGGGCGGGCGGAGCGGCCGCGCATGCGTCACACCGAGCAACGGTCTCTCGCCGCCCGCCCATGCCCGGCGCCGACGCCCGCACCCGGCGCCGCAACGGCCGCGGGCACGCGCGCGGTGACGTGCCGAGCAGGAAGGGGACGGGCGCTACGCGCACGCGTACACAGCGAGGCGCGAGGGAGGAAAGGGGCGCGCGGCTGCCCCCCTTCGGGCCTTGGGGTGCTCCGCCGTCAAGATGGCGTCGTCGGCATGGAGGTCGCGCTGCAGTGCCGGCGCTGATTCCTCGATGGGTTCCGCGCTAGCGATGGATAGGCGGGGTGCGCGAGCGCCGAGTCATCGATGGCCGAGGTTGCCGCCGGCCTCGCCGGGGCCCGTATCCAGCTAGGCTGCGGGGCGAGCGGCCTGGGCTTCCCGAAGAAGGATGTGCTGCGGGAGAGGCTGATGGCTCCTGCGGGGGGACTGGAGTGTGTAGGTGCGCTGCCTTAAATCAGAAGAAAAACATTTACAGGAATTGAGGGATCATGAATAGATTAAATGGAATTTAGTTATGAGAAATAGGATTTGATATGGTTCATGTGGCCGGGTTTTGACTTCTTGATGCCTGAAAAGCTCTTTGTTTAGGAAATAGCTCGGGGGAAGGTTGGGAGACAAAGCCGCAGGTGTGTCTGTCTGTGGGGGCCTGGGACTGCAGACCTGGGCTGTGCTGGGCCTCGTGGGTCCCCTCCAGCTCAGAGTACTGTGTGGTGTGCTCGGATATAAAGAGCCTTTGTGCTTGGGCTGAGCAGTGCCCAAATGTGGAGCCAAGTGCGAGATCTGGTTGGATTATTCCCCTCTCTTTCTAATCTTACAAAAGACTAAATAATGTTATGATTTAGGCTGTGATACTGAAAGCACAAACCATATGAAAAAGTACAGCAGCGTGCTGCAGAGCAAATTAAGGTGTGGAGCTTTGTTAGGCTATCTGCCCTCCAGCTATATGCTTTTTTGCTTCGTTAGCATAGATGGCACTTCCCTTCCTCAGCTTATTGTGAAGGTGTCTCAGGATCCATTCATACTGCTGCTGGAATTCGGCAAACCTGAGGAAATGATGAGCAGGCTATGGTTTTTTATCCATCCTTGTTTCAGTGGAATGACTTTCAGGGCAGAACAGCGATAAAGAGCAAAGATCCTGGAAGGGAATCAAAGCTAGAAAATATGCCACTAATGGTGTGGCATGGTTTAGACCAGAAGTTTGCTATTTTTAATGAAATGTTCTGTTATTACCTATTTAAGTGTTGTTCTCACCCACAAAATGGAGCAATCATTCAGCACATGGACTGGATATTTCTTTTGGATTAGATTGAAGTGAAAAGCACTCACTAGCAGTACACCAAATATATTCCAGCTGTTTAATGGCAGTCAGGCCATTATAGCAAACAGAGTGTAGTGTAAAATCTTCTGAATGGCATGGGATGTGGATGCTGGGTCCTTAGTAGTAAAACCCTAAAAAGAGGCCATTAGTTGTGTACGTTGCTTGTAAGCATAGGCATTCCTGTATTTTAACTTTCCTACTGGTGTAGAAAATCACCAGCAGAGGGTGTGATGACAAAAAATAAAACACAGTTCTCTGTAGCCCTTGGTAGATATAGGATTCCTTGGCCCTCGTTGATTTGTGATGTACACTCCATAGTAGCCCCAGATCTAGGGAGTGTGAAGTGAGTTCCTGAATCTAAACAAGTAGGAACAAAGTAAAAACAACCTTTATCATATGTTCTTTTTCTGGCAAAAACACCTTTTTTTTTTTTTTTTTTTTTTTCCATCTGTATTCACTAAATAAATTAGAATGCAGCAATTTTTAGGAAACGTTGTGTGGTTATTATGACTTTACTACATATTGTGATATGCAGAGTGATTTTTTGAGATCCTAAAGATTGGGAAAGCTTGACAACTTTTGCTTTAATTTGGAAGAATAAATTTTTAGCCCATTAAGAAGATAAAGATTGAAACTGTCCACTACATCATAAGGAAAAGAGCACAAGTTTAGTTTTGTTGTATCTCTTCAGAGATAGGTAGGTGACTCTACAAAACATTTGTGTAAATCCAGGTTCTTCCTAAATCTGTCTTTAAGCACAGAACAGCGAACAAAATCTCTGGAATTCTTTAATGCTCACCAGAGGTTGAGCAGTTTGACTGACTAATGGACAGTTAATGCAGTGAGTACCTAAGTATACTCCCTTGGTAAATAAAATAGCTACTGTTTGGGACAATTCTTCAACGATTCATGCATTATTCTATCTGGTGCTTGCTGTAAGTAAACAAGGAAACATTCAAGGGAACATCTTAAAAGAAAGAAACTCATCCAAGCAGGTTCCAGATAAACTGCAGCACGCCTGGCTCCTAAAGGCTTTTCATATCTTCCCAGACAATTCATCTAATTGTTTTTCAACATAAAAAAGTCTAGAGTTCAAACTGAGTGCTTCAAGATGAAATACAAATCTGTTCTTGTCTCATCTACTAAACCTAGGTAACAGATTATCCCTTCAGAAACATTAGAAGACCTTTAGATTGCTTGTAACTGATACATGTGTATTTAGGTAAGCTGTCATGCTATTTAACTGGGGCCAATAGGATTCACAGATTAACTACTACACAGAGAAAGGTTCTAAGTTTAATTTTGAACTTTTGGTTCACATGTGGATTCCCATCTCTTAGATTATGAGAGAGAATGAATATTAGTTCATTTTACTCAGGCAGCATCTTTAAAAGGATGTTTTATAGATTTGATGCCTACCTGTGTGACCTGCTGTAGGGACACTGCTTTACCAGTGGGGTTGGACTTCGTGATCTCTAGAGGACCCTTCCAACTCCTGCATTTCCATGATTCTATAACTTATTTTGAACAAATTAAACACACACACACACACACACACACACACACAAAAAAAAAAAAAAA